CCAGGGAGGGGGGGGAGTCCCCATAGCTGGAGGGGTTCAAAACACGTGTGGAGCTGGCACCTGGGGACATGGTTTCATGCTCATAGGAGTGTTGGATTGATGGCTGGACTTTTCCAACCTTAGTAACTCTATGATTCTAGGAATGTTTTTAGCCCCAGCATCATTTATGTGTGTTTGACTTTGCTCATACCTTTGGCTTCTTCTTGCTGACCAGCTCGCTAACAGACTTGGTCTGAACCTCCACCTCCTTGAAAGCATATTTTGGGTCAAAGAACTTGCTGTCTATTTTGTCTGGAGCCTGATAACCTGGGGAGGGGGAAGGGAAGCCATCAGCAGGTTCTCCCAAGCCCCATTCCAGCAGCTGCAGGTCCCTCTGGGGGCTCACCCTGGCACACGACGAAGATCTCAGCAGACTCGTTGCGGGAGGCCTGGGGCTTGGTGGCCTGGACTTTGCTGAAGAACTGCTGGAAGATCCACAGGAGGGGCTGATAGTCCCGGGAACGAAACACCTTGGTGATGAACCAGCCTCCCTTGCACAGGAACTCACAGGCCAGCTTCAGGGCCATGAGGGTCAGGTTGGCTGAAAGGGGGAAGAAGAGCAGTAGAGCAGTTGTGGCTGTCCCCACCACGCTCTGCTAGGGTGTGAGATGCCCTCAAACCCCCCCTAGGACTGTGCCAGGCCACTCGCCAGCCCCGGGCAGGCCCCACCTTGGGAGTAAGCGTCGTGCACCCAGCTGGCTCCCACGTTGGGTGCTCCATCGTTCAGCACCACGTCCACCTTCCAGGTCTGCAGCTCCTTGCGCAGGGCCTGAGGGACAGGGACACGTGGCTGAGGGACAGGGACTCCCACTCAGCCTCTGCAGGAGCCACCAGGCAGCACCCGCCGTCCACACTGGCTCAGCTCAGCCCCTGCTGTTGTCCCACCCCCCCTGAGCGAGGCCCAGTGGGGCAGGAGGGGGGGATGTGCCCCCACCCCCATCGCTGGCAGAGCTGCTGAGCCCAGGGGAGGCCCAGGGGAGGCCCAGGGGAGGCCCAGGGGAGGGGAGGTGGGTGGTACCTGGCGGCACTTCTCCGTGGTGATGTCCTCCTGCAGCGTCACCACGTTGGGAATGGGCTTGATGGGGACCAAGTCCACCCCTGGTGTCAAGGGGAGAGATGAAGAACTCAGCCCCTCCAACCTGGGCTCCAGCACATCCCGCAGAGGTTCTCCACCCACTCGCTCCTCCTGCCAGGACCTCCAGGATCCCCTTTCTTCAGCCACATCCAGGGGCTGGCC